CCTTGAATTGAATAACGCTAAGTTAGGGTAAAGTAGTCTTTTACCCCAAGTATAGAGTTGTGGTTATGTGTTGGAACCCAATTATTAATTGGGTATTGTTTGATGTTGACAGTTCGGGAATCTGTCAACCAGCAAGGGGAGTTTTATCTGCGGGGCTTCAGCAATGCCATGTGAGTCTTCTCACCATACCAATGGGTCTAAGACACCAAGGCCGACCCATTTTATGATAGTTATTATACTTGCTATGTAGAGGTGTGTGATATGTATGTATGCGTGAGATGCTGTAGAGATAGCCTTTGTGGTTAACGGTAGAGACAGCCTTTTATGGCTGATGGTAGAGATAGCCTTGTGGCTAATGGTAGAGACAGCCTTTATGGATGATGGTAGAGATAGCCTTGTGGCTAATGGTAAAGATAGTCTTTGTGGCTAACAGTAGAGATAGCTTGTATAGCTAATTGATATGTGCCAATGGTAGAGATAGCTTTTATAGTTATTTGATATGTGATATGTGGCAGAAGTAGCTTTTGTAGCTAATTGATATGTGCTAATGGTAGAGAGAGCTTTTATAACTATTTGATATGTGATATGTGGTAGAGTATCTTTCATAGCTAATTGATATGTGATATGTGGCAGAGTAACTTTTATAGCTGATTGATATGTGATAACAGTAGAGATATATTTTTACAGCTAATACGATATGTGTTATGTGGATTGTGTGTGGGGTATGCTCTGGGGGACTCACTAAGCTTTGTGCTTACGGTTTACAGTTTTGGTTTCAGGTTTCATCGATTTGGAAATGAAGGGCTCGGATTGATCGCAGTGCACATACCTATGATTCCGCAATGAATGATTTTGGGACGAACTCTGATAAATGTTTTACTTAATGAGGATTTGACATGTTTGGAATAAATGGTATCAATGTTTCAGCTATAATAAAATGAAAATTTTACCTCTGATTTTTGGGTCGTTACACCTAGGCTCTTCCTAGGTTCTCACACTTCTCTGCCATCAGGTGCTGAAGAACTCCTCACGATGCCAGCCATCTACCTCCTGAATATCGTCATATTCACTTAGTAGCTGTCTCCCATCACCAAGAGTTCCACAAAGCACAAAGCAAGCAACATTCGGGCATCGAATCACCTCCACCAACACATAAAATCACTCTAGCACACAACTCTACCCGCTCTATCCGCAACTCTAAAAGGCATTACTGAACTCAGGCAACCCTACCTCTCGTGGGTATGTCACTACTCTCTCAGTAGGTTCTTCAAATACATATCTAGGCGTCTCTCCTAGATTAACCCTCTACTCAAAGCTCTCTCTAAAAGATTCTTGCTAGGTACTCTTACTCAACACATACACAGAGCAAACAACAGATAATATCAATCAATAGCATTTCCTAGGCTAAGGCATCACAAATCAGGCAACTCTAGCCCTAAGATATGAAATACCTAGCTTGTCCTCTAGCATGCATCACTAATATCTCATGAATATATCATAACACAAATAAGTAAGGGTATTTTGGGAAATCACCGTTCGAGCTCTGGCAGATTGTACACACTGCTCCAACTCATTTTCTCTTAAAACTCTTTCTCATTTTGAAAAATCATTTCTTTTGAATTTTTTCTCAAATCCTCAGTTTGAGTCCAGACACACCCGAAGGTACATCCGAATCCCTCAAACCAAGGCTCTGATACCAACTTGTAACACCGTAAATTTTCAAACAAAATTTTCATTTTAAAAACACATAATTCTCGTTAACACATTTCACAAAAATCCCAAAGTATCAAATTATTAAAAACACATATCCATTATAGAAATCCAGGATCCTCAAACATAACTCCATCTCGTGTGTACAATCAAGCCGGTGCCTTCCCGCGATCCTAAGAAGTACCTGAAACACATATTACATAACACGGTAAGCACAAAGCTTAATGAGTTCCCCAAAATACAACTCATATCTCATTAGCCTCTCATGGCTATGAACACTCCGGTCATGTGTCTCAGTGAAGACCCTCCGGTCTCACAGCTCGGGTCGGACCCTCCAGTCCTGTATCTTAGTGAAGACCCTCCGGTCTCACAACTCGGTTTGGACCCTCCGACCCTAACTCAGTAAGGCACAAAATAATATAGCATATATCACAAAGACAATATGCATAATAACACACAACTCAATATAAGCACATAGGACCCTCCGGTCACTCAGTAGATATAGTGAGAAGACTCACCTCGGATGATGAACAGCTCCTATAGATGTTGTTGCTGCACACCGGCCTCTAACACTAAACCAAAACCCACAATTACCCAGTTAAGATCTAAGACCAAACCTCACTCATTAGGTCTAAAGATAGCTCACTACCCGGCCCACAGTTAACTCAAGCTCATTGGGCCCACCAAGGCCCAATACTAAATGGGCTCTCCCAAGGCCCAACTCTTAAACTTAAGTCCAAATGGAAAGTCCAACACAAAGGCCCAAGACATACACAATATTTCTATGATCAAAATCTCCAGTATAACAAGCCCAAAATCCAGGCCCAACACTTATGGCCCAATGAGAGTTTTAGCCCAAAAAGCCCACAGCAAGGTTACGCGGGGCGTACCTCCCTTGGTACGCTCAGCGTACGCACAAATCCAGATCGGGCCATCGGGGACACTTAGAAGCTCACAAATGGACACTCAAGCTAGAGGAACGGATATTAGGTTTTTGAGAAGGCTGGAAATGGTGGCCAGAAATGAGGCCATCATGTTCTTTAAATAGGGACACATCCCTCATTTAGGGTTTCCACCCTGTGCCTAGTACGCCCTGCGTACTAGGTGGCTCCGCTTCAAAATCACGCACATGAGTACGCTAAGCGTACACACACGTACACCCCGCGACTCAGCTGCCACCTTTCTCACATAAGGGACCTAACTTGCCAAAACTCCAAACTATCATATCTTCCTCGTTATAAGTCCGTTTCCAATGAACCTCATATCCACATAAAGGTGGCGAGAAGCCCTACGCTTCTAGCAACTCGTTGCATCCCCAAGGCTTCCTCATGCCTGGGTTGCAACCCACGAACCCTAATTCACGGATGATCCGAAACAGTATGTTACAAAGGGGCCTTGGACAAAATCTCCTAGGGTTTCCCTAGAGATTTTCGTCCACCTCTTCCAAGGGGTTCTAGAGCCTTCCTTTCCCAACTATTAATAAATAACAAAAATGGTCCCCATACTTTTAATTAATCTAATTAATTCCAAAATCAATTCCAATTAATTTATGATTAATTATTAATTGAATAATATGATTTCTAATTAATATATTATTTTCATAATACATTAATATATCATTTTTTTTCAATAAATCAACCTCTCTCTCCCTCTCTCCAAAATCATCATGTCCAGTTGCTAGGTTTGAGGGCAACCCAAAAGGACTGTGCTACTATCAATTCAAGTTTATACTAATTATAGTTATAGACTTAGACACCCAATCCAACAGATGCAACAAGGACGAAGACAATCCTTTAAAACTAGGAGCAAATACAATCCCTATAGCTTAATAATAAACCTATAACACTCATAATACATTGGATATTGGTGGAAAATTAGTTTACTAATTTCCAAAAATGGGGTTTTTTTTCCCATTTTTGAGCACGAATTTTGGACTCTAAATATAATCAAAACGGACTAATGATTATGTATTCGTGTTCTCATACGTGATACATTTGTCTCGATATATCACACGTCCAAAACAGATTAAAATTGAATGAGAAATTACTTGTTAAAGTAAGATAGTTGGAAGAGAATAATATATGGGTTAAGTGGGTTTTTAACTCATCTAAAATTGGTGGGAGAATGAAAAGAAAATGAGTTTATAACTACAAAGCCTAGCTAACTTTGTAAGACTTATAGAACCAATGCTCTCTCTTACATGCACATGCATGGGGGGGGTGCAAATGCGAGCCAGTTTGACTTCGGGCCACTGAACTTGCGTGTGAGCACGTCCTGCGGGTACGAATGCACCACCGGTCGACCAAAAAAGTTATAGCTACATAGGTTTTAATTGAAGAATGCACCACATTCATCATGACACCTTCCATGCACTTCCTGTATAAACCTAACAACATCAATGGATCAATGCAAGAAAAAGAGATCCAACCAACAATACATATACACCTCACCATACCTTATAAACTTACTTTAATACATAATCCCTTTGTCCTAACTTAAGCATCATAAAGTATTGTCGGGATCATCCCAATAATACTCGTAGCCCTCTATGCCTACCATACACTATAAACATACTTTAATACATAATCCTTTTGCCCTAACTTAAGCATCATAAAGTATTGTTAAACTTACTTTAATACATAATCCCTTTGTCCTAACTTAAACATCATAAAGTATTGTCGGGATCATCCCAATAATACTCCTATCCCTCTTTGTCTACCATCTCAGGTTCTACAGTCATTCTAATCCAAGAGACACCATGAAAATTAGGGGTGTTCAAAATATCCGAACGGATAACATGATTATAACATCACTTACAATCTCTAGCTCAATATGTTGTTAAAAAGGTAGCTAGAAAACCGTCAAAGTCGATAAAGGAACTAATAGACATAGTTTAAAGATTTTCTAAACAATAAGAAGCTACAATGGAAAAACTCAAAGGTAATATAAGAGAAAAAGCCTCACACTTCCAACCAATAGAGCAAAAGCGAACATACAATCATGGCAATCAAGTGGGAAATATCGACACCCTTATAAACAAAATCTGAAGTTTCATAAACCACAAAGCCAACGATAACAACCTTCAAACAGAAGCCATGCACGAAGAAGCTTGGCCACAGTGGCAAGTCTAAAAAAAAAGAAAGTTGAAGCAATGTAAAATTCCCTCTACGCGATAACAAATATTGTGAGTTTCATACCCCGTTAAACACAACACAATAACGTGTACCATGCTAAAAAAAGAAATATAACATAAGATCTAGACGACCCAATGAATGAAACAACAAACAGCCATGGCCCCCTTGTGCGATCAAGGGAAATACATAACGAAGGGAGAAATCCTAATGTTGCAAAGAAACATGGAAAATGTAATAACGTACAAAAGGTATAAGAAGGACAACGATATTTAACAAATCAGAACCACGTTCAATTCAAATTTATATTCGTAGTTTATTCGCCACAGATTGTAGGTAAGAGCAACCCGCATGAACTAGTGTTCATTGATTTTAGGATTGATAATAATAATGGATGATGTACCCTCTACATTGCGTAGATGTCCATTTAATCATATTTGTTGGTTATATGTTGGCTATTTAGAGTTCATGTTTTATGTTGGTAAATATCCACAATTTTATATTAAATCATATATAGTTATCTTGAATTAGGGCAATGGCAGGTCCGGATAATTCAAGTTACCCCTCAAAGTTTTGCAAAATTTCCTAACAAATGTAAATTTTATATATTTTTTTTATATAAATGTAACCGGTAACAAAATTTTGTGCAACCTTTTAAAGAAAAAAAGAAATACTAAGTAGTTATTAAAAAAAAATACTAATTAACTAAAGATTAACCGAATTACCAAAAAACTTTTAACGCTACACAATATCATATATCATATGTTGAGTAGAAAGTTTAAATACCATCTAAATCTAAAATCTAAAATAAAATTAAAATAATATAAAAATAAATTGGGTTTATCGTTAAAAAAACCAGATTAAACAAATATGATAATGATATAATTTTAATAATTACATTATCAAAGACTTTTCTCATTTCAAAAATTCAAGTATCAAACTTATAAAGTATAGTCCAACTCCAAAGTCCAAAAGGCTTTATAAAATTAAACTAAAGAAAGCCAGCCCATTCTCTGATTCCGAATTCTCGAATCTCTATCCCTCACCAAAAGGGTCGTCCGTCAGGCCATTGTTTTGGAATTGTAACTGAAATCGCGACAGGAAGAGAAGAGAAGAAAGTAGAAATCGAGAGAGGAGAAGAAATTGAAATCAGAAATCGCCGGCACGGTGGCACTGGTATCGCCCCTCACGATCACGATTTCACGGTCTCACGCTCACCTCACCTGTTGTGACGTGTTGGAGCAGGAAGCGAGCAAGAATTAAACAAGTAAGGCTAAAAACAAATTTTTATTTGATATTCTGATTACTGTTGAATTGAAATTAGGTTTATTTGTTTATGCTAATAGGATTGGCCGTTGAAAACTTGAAATTAGCCAATTAGGTTTAGGTGTTGAAAGTTGAAATTAGCTGCTGTTGAAATTGGGTTTAGCTGTGTATTTGATTAACTGTTGAAAATTGAAATTAGGATGGGATTTGATTTGTAGCGTAGATAAGGAAGATGTTTCCGCAATGAAAATCGTACTTTATATATATATATATATATATATATATATATATATATATATATATATATATATATATTATTTTAAAAAAAATCTTATCTGAGTCCGCTCAAGGCCTGAACATTATCTGACTTTCTTTGGTGTATGAATTCACAGAATTTTATTGTCGAAAATTGAGGTTCCTTTCTTGTGTGGAAGAGCTACAACAGATTGCTCTAAAAGGAGGCGGCTTTTCACTTGTAGTGCTCTGTGGATCACTTGGAATCGAAGGGTTCAGTCGATCACGATCTCCTGTAGCTGTTTGTTGGATATCATAAATAGCTAGGGTTTGTTGGATATCTCGATTTGGATAGGTTTCTGCTAGTTAGCATCTAAAAATCAGCTGTTGAGAGTTTTTTCTTCTGTTCCTTTTCTGATTGTACCATTGGGCTCAATTATTATGGCCCGGGACATGCTGTACCGAAAAAATGATTTATAGTGACGTTTTGCTTATTTGTTTTCTTATTTCTTATATGTTCCTGGTTTTCTGATGAAAATCTAGGGAAAAGTTCAAGTAGTTCTAAAATTTTGTTCATAGAAGACTCAACTTGTTTGAGAAATTTTTTTTTTTTTTTTTTTTTTTTTGTTTTTACTGGGGTATGGGTAGCCAAGGTTTTAATAGTCAAACAAATGGGCCAAGATTGGGCATCACAGAGCCAATATCTTTGGGGGGGCCAAGCGAGTATGATGTAACAAAGACCAATGAGCTTGAAAAGGTTTTATGTTACTTTTCACTTTTCACTTTTATTTATGTAACTGGTTGTTTGATTTTAAGCTCTCAGACATTTATTTCTTTTACTTTGCTCAGTTCTTGGCTGATGCTGGACTGTATGAGAGTCAGGAAGAGGCCATAAGCAGGGAAGAGGTTTTGGGACGGCTGGATCAGGTTGAATCACATTTCCAATTTTGGATTTCCCCCTGGTTAGATTATTTCACTTTTGCTGTGAATGTGAATGTGATGTTTCTAAAATGAGCAGATTGTGAAAATCTGGGTGAAAAAAGTTAGCCGGGCCAGGGGGTTAAATGAACAGCTGGTACAGGAAGCTAATGCCAAAATTTTCACCTTTGGGTCCTACCGTCTTGGGGTATGAGATTATTCCTAATATTTCCTTTTGGTGAAAGATAAATCATAAAAGTGGTTTTCATGTGCAATTGTTAATCTCTTTAGTGTTTGTGTTTATACCATTTTCGTAACAAGTGTTGTTAGTTTTCATGTATAACTAAATACACTTGCCATCACATGGAAATGGAATTAAGAATAAGCGGTTTTGAGTTTTGGCAGTTATGCTGTGACAATCGGTTTATGTTACTGTAATATACGTGATAATGTTGCTGCATTTGATTTCCATGTCGTTTCTTCAAACTCAGCATTAAACTCGGGATAGTCTTATCATCTGCCAAAAGTTTACATCTTTTATATTATCTTGTATGTTCTTTTAGAGTTCATGTATAACTAAATATTGGTTTACTACTTGATGCTCTACACCGTATATTAGTATGGAAGACAGTTGTTTCTCTGTCACATGCTATTGTGCTTGTTAGGTTAGCATTATACATTTATACATTATACATACCTCTTATCACTCTAGTGCGGACATCCTTTTGTCAAGGGACAACTGCATTACTATTGTTAGCACCTTATAACATACCTTTCTAAAACAATGAAAACTGTACACAACCCTTTTAATATAGTCTTAATGGTTATTTGGTTACCTTTTATAGGGGGTTCTTCGACACATTATCTTTTTAAGTTTTACGTACTCTCATCCTTCGTCTTAAGCAACAAAAAAGCTTCTATTAATGTCTTCATCAAGTTCTCTTATCACTCGCACTTGAACCGCTGTACATTTGACAATGATTCTTGTTTGTAATACATAGTCTTTGATGCAAAGTCATTGTTTCCATCCTATGCATTTCATGTCACTAGCTCTCTAGCTTCTATTGTATTTAGCTTAGCAACCTTATTTACATAAGCTTCTATCTGGCTCATAGTTTTTTTGTTAACTCCTTACATGCTTAAGCTTTGTCCCTCATATTGCTTGCTAGGTTTTTCCTTTGGCCAGTTGATTGTTTTAAGTACCCTATAAGCCTGTAAGAGTTTATGGCATCTTATTTATAACTATGGGAAGGAGTGTTGGAGACCAAGAATAATTTCATTCTCATGTTTGGGATGTCAACGACTAAATATAGAGAAATAAGTAGGGGACCTTTATGTGGCCTGCATCCACCTAGAGAAGGCATATCATGAGAGAGAGAGTATGTGGAGGAGCTTGGTAGAAAGAGGGTTTTAGGGAGATATGTCCTATGCGATAGGTATTGGTATTTGGTAGTTTGTGTTTGAACTCCAGGAGGTGAGAAAGAGTCTTTGAGAGTGAAAATAGAGGTCCAGTAGAGATGAAACTTAACCTGTGCATTTTGGATGGGAGATTTGTAGTGGAATTATGGGAAGAATGGCTTTTGGCGATGGTGGCAAAGATAATGAATGGTATGAATAGGATGGATAAGATGATTACAGTTAAATACAAAATGTAATGATAAAGGAGTAAAGTTTGCACTGGAAGTAGTTGGCTCTATGATCCACAAGGGGAAGGGGGAGTAAAGGAGTATGTTACCCACTACTACATAATAGGTTAAAGTTGAGGTTGAGGGTGGCCACATCACATCACATCACATGAGTTAGTATTGTGCGACAAGGTCTCATTAGATGAAAATTCTATAGGCCTCCAGCCATGTTGTATTTGTATGACATTGAATGTTGAGGAAGATGATATGCTTAATGTTGGAGTTGGTCAACAGAAAATTGAGGGAAGGTAGATTGTGATTGTGGGTGGTGGTTTGTTTGAACTTTGGACATGCTCAAAGGAGGCAACCCACGACAACAAAATGAGGGTACGGTTGATGGGGTGAGGACTGAGGAGGAAGGTTAGACATGAAGGAGAAGGAGTTTGCACTTTTCTAAGAGATGACCTCAGATACATTACATTACATAGATAGGAGGGAAAAGGCATACAACTAGGCTTGTGTCGTGGTTATATTATTCTCATCTGTATTTAACTACCTATCTACTTATTTATTTCACTTATTACCATCACTACTATTTCTTGTATTAGTATTATATTAAAAATCGTCTGCTCCTATGGAAGCAAAGCAACCTCTCTAGAGTCTAGTCTCTACCCTCATGGGAGTTGGGTATAGTTAATTAACCTCCTAGCAGTGAAAAACTTAAAAGTTTTGAGCAATACTATTACTAGGGGTTATGAGGTTAGATCCACACTTGTTAAAGACAGTCTAGTCTACAACCATCCAATTCCAATCATTAATTATTGTGGAATTGACGACTCATTCTCCTTTATTCTTGACACCAGCCATACCAATGGCTCTACCTTCTTTTTGTAAAAAAAACTGTTGCTAAGTGGTACCCCAAATGTCTTTATTGAGAAGTTGCATTTTGATATATTATTATTCATTGAAGCCTACTAGATGAGTAGGTGTAGTATGCATAGTTGACACTCACCCATTCTCCTTGTATTTTGATATATTCTTGCATATTACTTGTGGCCTCACCTCGTCTTGTTTCTATATAATAGGTGCATGGTCCTGGTGCTGATATCGATACACTCTGTGTTGGACCCAGACATGCATCACGGGATGTAAGATCTACTCTGTCTCTACCCACTTTTGGCTCTCTTATAATCCTAATGTTCAGTTCACTCATGCTTGTATAATAATTACAGGAAGATTTCTTTGGTGAGCTTAAAAGAATGCTCTCAGATATGCCTGATGTCACAGAATTGCATCCTGTACCTGAGGCTCATGTTCCTGTGATGAAATTCAAGTTGAATGGTGTTTCCATTGATCTTCTCTATGCAAAACTTTCACTTTGGGTCATACCTGAAGTAACCTATCTTTCTTTCATCTCCATCTGTTGGCTGTTGCTGAAAATTAGTTGGTTACTTTACTAATGAGCTCCATTTTACAGGATTTGGATATCTCTCAAGACTCAATACTGCAAAATGCAGATGAACAGACGGTTCGGAGTCTTAATGGATGCAGAGTTACTGACCAGATCCTGCGCTTAGTGCCTAATATTCAGGTTCGCCTATTTATAATTAATAATTAATAATTCATTAGATTAGATTAGAATTGCTTGTAATTTCTTTTTGTGCTGCAGAGTTTTCGCACAACATTAAGATGCATGAGGTTTTGGGCCAAGCGAAGGGGCGTTTATTCAAATGTAATGTTGAGCATTTCATTTTTAATTGGTAAATAAATAAATATTGATTTTGTCATCTGTTTAATGTGTGTGTGTTTTGGTGGTCAGGTTGCAGGATTCCTAGGTGGCATAAACTGGGCTTTGCTGGTTGCACGGATCTGCCAGCTGTACCCTAACGCCCTACCGAATATGCTGGTTTCTCGGTTCTTCAGGGTGTACACTCAATGGCGATGGCCAAATCCAGTAATGCTTTGTGCTATTGAAGAAGGATCACTTGGATTGCAGATTTGGGATCCTAGAAGAAACCACAAAGACAAATACCACTTGATGCCAATCATCACTCCAGCTTATCCTAGCATGAACTCTAGCTACAATGTGTCTTCAAGCACTTTACGTATAATGACGGAAGAATTTAAAAGAGGCCACGATATTTGTGAGGTATGTATATGTATTATGTATTATGTATATGTATGTTGATTCGATCGCAAACTTAGAATACAAAATGAAGTTACAGGTTAATTTTTGTGGGTGTAGGCAATGGAGTTGAACAATGGTGGTTGGGTTGAGCTTTTTGAACCGTATCGTTTCTTTGAAGCATACAGGAATTATCTCCAGATAGATATAGGTGCGGATAATGATGAGGATATGAGGAACTGGAAAGGCTGGGTGGAATCTCGCGTGCGCTACCTCATACTAAAGGTGATAACAGTTATTGTTATTATTTATTTATTTATTTATGATTTTGTAATTAAAGTTGTAACAGGGGGAGTGGGTTTTGTTTTGTTGTATGTATGTATGTATGTGAATAGATTGAGAGGGACACGTTCAAAATGCTGCAGTGCCACCCACATCCAGGGGACTTCTCAGACGGGTCAAATCCTTACCACTGCAGTTACTTTTTAGGTCTTCAAAGGAAAGAAGGCGTTCCTGTGAATGAAGCCAAGAAGTTTGATATTCGGTTGACAGTCGATGAATTTAAAGCAAATGTTGGTTCATATTCATCTTGGAAGCCCGGAATGGAGATAAATGTAACACATATAAAGCGTCGCGACATTCCCGCTTTTGTTTTTCCTGGTGGTGTTCGTCCTGCCAGACCCCCTGCTGCAACTGCAAGACGCCCTCCTACTACTTCAGAAACACCTACTACCAACACCAACACCACCACCAGTAGTGGTATTGGTGTTGGTGTTGGTATGATTGATAGGGAAGATGATGCAAGGAAACGGAAGCGAGAGGATGATGACATGGAAGCTTCTACCAAGTTGCTCATAGATGAAGGCAACGGATTTACTACTGCTATTATTGGTATTGGTGGTCCATCAAATGCTACTGATACTAATCAAGTAGTCGGGACATCTGTGTTGACCTCTAAAGAAGCAGAGGCCGAGAAGATTGCGATTGAGAAGTTGATGTCTGATCCGTATCAGACTTCCCCACAACTTGAGGAGTTAGAGGAGCTTGATGATAATTGTCACATGGAGATGGAGTCTTCAACTTCAACCAATAAGGAATTCGCTATCAGCAATGCAACAGGCGCCTCTTCCAGTTTGCAGTTGAATGGGAGTTTAGAAGAGCTTGAGGTCAGTTGCTAATAATTTCCCTTCCATTTTTAGTTATCACTCCTTTGATTTTCTGGAATCTCTCACTCTCTTTCTATATATAATATAATATAATATAATAGGCCCCTGAACTTGTTGTGCCCTTGCCGACTGCATCTCATGCTACACCTGCTTCACAGAAAAAGCCAATTATCAGGTAGGTAAATGTAATTTCATTGGAAATCACCCGGGACCCAATGATGAATGTAATGTTAACTGAGAGACCATTTTCTTATCTGACAGGTTCAGTTTTACCTCGTTGGCCAAGGCTACTGGCAACAGCACTTGAAACTTTTACTGTCTTCCTTTCCTTTGATGATGATATCATGTAATCTCCCACCCATAAACTATATCTACTTTTTATCTTCTGTTTGTTGTATAGTGGTGACTGGTAAAATGTTGAGATCAAGTAACGAATGTTTCTGTCATTTGGATTCCCGTGTTCATGTTTAATAACAACCTCAAGTATGAGATTATATATATATTATATTATATTATGTTTTTATTTCTGGCTATCTGAAATACTGTTTCATATCTTTAAGGCAAAGGAATGAATCATTTTAATGAGTCAGAACAACTCCAGTAAACTGCTTGTGCTAATATGCTAGAAAAAAAATGTTGAATGCTGAAACCAAATTCTGCAAACTAGGAAAAAACTTAGCATAATGATAAAGGGTCATAACCAATGTTCTAAAAAGCTCGCCATGGCGCGCCACGGCTCCAAGGCTTGCACTTGTCGCCAAGTTTTGCTAAAACGCCGCCTTAACTCATATATGTGTATAAAAATGAATAATAGTTGAAAATACATATAAAAATATTAATTATATAGAAGATTGCCGTCTTAAGTCACGCCTTACAAACGTCATGACTCGTCAAGGCTTGGAAAAGCTTGAGGCTTGACATTACCGCCAAGTCACGCCTTACGTTATTTAAAACCTTGGTCCTAACACCCCCCCCCCCCCCAATTACTTATGGTAATGGTACCCCTTAATATCAATCACATCAATACGACTCAACACTTTCAACCCTAATTTACTTAGGGTTGAAGAAGTGGACCATACCATTCCTGCTGGTGGTGTGACATTAGTCGAATGTGGCATACCCAAGCCAGGTGTTTTTTTTTTTTTTTTTCTCTCTCTCTCTCTCCTAGTGCTTGGAAATATGGTGGCAAAACGAGGTGGACAAGATTTTGACTGATGTGGACCGTAGTAAGCTCAGACACCACTCCCACCAGCTTTGTTGTACCTACTTATATATTTTTTTATTCAATTTTTTTGTCTTTTATCTTTAGTTATTATTAATATTTTTTTCCAATAATATATTTATGTTTAAGAGGTTCAAGTTTATATTGTCGTTCAAGTTTATACAAACGTTCGAATTTATACAGTCGTTCAAACATTGTTATTATAAAATTAATATTAATTTTAATTTTTTTGAATAATCTTTTTTTTGTGTTGTACAAAGAAACGTTTAAATTTATACAGTCATTCAAATTTATAAAATCCTTCTAATTTGTGTTATAAAAATCCTACAACTTAGAGACCATTTATGTAAATTATTTGAAAAACTCTTTTGCTTTTGTAATTGAAAGATGCACATTATATTTGACGTAAAAACTGAAAGATGCCAAACGCATCCATATTTGACGGAAAAATATTATGCTTTTGCTTAGTGGCAGAATTACTTAGTTGGTAGGGGTAGCACCTGCTACCCCTCAATTAATCCATAGAAATATATTTTTTTCATACATAAGTGCAACTGTGAATAAAACTCAACCTCAAACGTTCATATTATATTTTTTAAAAAGTCCAATCAATGTTCATTTATTGATGAATCACTTAGCCTATTAAATGTAAAGAAAGGTATGTATCTTTTTTTTCTTTGGTGTGTGTACCTTTGACAGGAGGGAAAAAAGAAATTGACTTTCTTTTGTGAAATTGTAATTTTTTAAAAACATTATCTTATTATACCTTGCTACTATTGCTTTTGCTTTTATAAAACTAAAGGCTTTCAACAATGTTACTGAAGATGGAAGACTTTCAACTAAAAAAATATAGATTTCATTACTTAGTAAATTGCAATAAGAGACTTTCATCAAACCAAAGGCTTGCACCATTCTATATACCGTATATACCGTCAATTGATATATCGTCTAAAAACCTATATAGACAATGTATAGTTTTCACAATGACTAGGTATATATATTTCGTGGATAATCGTAATATATATTTTTGGATGTTATATATTCGTAAGCCTTGCCAAATTTTATACTGACTTTTTTCATTCTTTAGACGTTTAGCAATCGTGGAAATTTAATGTAGTGAGTACAAAATATGGCACTCTCTTGGGTAAGTGGTTATTATTAAAAGAACAAAGACAAAACCAAGTGGTTGTGTGTCAAACATTATTTTAAAGTGTGATCAGGGTGGTGTGTATGGAGGTATGAAGAACTCATCTAGAAATACGGGGACAAGAAAAAAAACTATCCATCCAAATTGTTTGCTTGTTACTGTAAGTTGCATGATGTGTAGAGGTTGAAGGTTAAAAATGATCAACCTAATCATGAACCCACAATGTATACGGAGGGTCATTCATTAGCAATGCAGTTAGTCCAAAATAAATAACAAATGGTTGTAGAAAAAAGAATGAACAATGTCCCCCCACATGATATTCCATCGACATTGAAGAGTCAAAATGAGAATACCGTATCTACAATAAAAACAATATATAATGAGGATAACAAAGTTCGAAAGTATGAGCATACGAGATGAACTCAAATGTAGGTTGTATTTGGATTTTTGTATTCAAGAGGATATGAATTTCGATATCAGATACAACCGGTGTTGGAAGATCTATTTTTTGTTCACCCAACATCATTGGAGATATGGTGTGCATTTTCACAGGTTATGATGTTAGATGTCACCTACAAGACTAACATGTATGAATTTGTTCTTTATTCATTAATTTTGGTTAAAGTTTTGTTATGTTAAATGTTTTTCTTTTATTAATAGGTATAACATGCATTTTTTTTTGGAGATCGTTGGTGTTACTATAATAAACACAGACTTTTCCATTGGTTTCGGGTTCATGTATCAAGAAAAGGAATCTAATTACATTTGAGCTTAAATTGTCTTGAGGTCATAATTGACAGATATGATAGCTGTAAGACCCTAAAACTTAGAGGAAGTTGACTTTTAGTCAAATATTGACCAAAATGGCAAAATGGTCATTTATGAGAAAAAGACAAGATTATGAAGTTGTGACTTCATGAAAATGGCCAAGATGAGTTCAAGTCACTAAGATAAGATTAGATGAGGTTCAAGAGAAAGGATGCATGAGAAGATGCATTTTTGGTAAAAAGGGAAAAATAGGTATTTTATGCCTTTTGAGCAAAGTTTGTGATCTAACAGATTAAAACCCATATTATGTAATGTCCCAAAAATTACAAAGATATTTTTCATTTAAAAAAAATAGACTACCCAATTAAAGCTTGTAACTCAAAACAATAAGTGACATTCATTAGTTTGAAACCATAATATTATCATAGTTGAACTATAGGAAAGTAGAAATCATTATCTTCGATGCATGTGTACAATCCCATCTAGTTCTTCTAACGAACAACCTGCAAAAACATTTGATCCACAACTGTAAGCATAAAACTTAGTGAGTTCCCCACTATACCACATATTTCATCATACATGCATCCACACAAAGTGTTCGACTTTAGTGTCGGTCTGCCAAATCTCCTATCAACATAAACATACATAGCAATCATATATGAAATAACGAGTCTGATCCAACTCCAAGTGAATGCTATGGGCCAAATCATAGTATCATAGTCACATCTTGCCATGAGCCAAATCATGGTCTTTTCTTGCAATGCCGAGGGCTAAATCTCGGTCTTACATACAACTGCCAGCGGCTAGATCCTGGTCTTCGATACAACTGTTGGGGGATAGATCCTGGTCTTCCATGCAACTGTTAGGGCCAGATCTTGGTATTTCATACAATTTCCAGGGGCCAGATCCTGCATACAATTCATAAAGTCATATGTAGTTTGGGATTAGATTGACAATCAAACAGATGATCCACTTGAGAGAGAACAATCAGATAAAAACATCACAATAAGGAATTAGACCAAGAGTTCTCAGGCTATCCAACTTAAACTACATACAACCAATGCTATCATTACCACATAATCATGTAACATAACACATAACATATACTAAAATTTCACATACCCTTGGAAACTAGCCTTCCCTAGTTACCCTGCCATTAACCACTTCTCAATTAAGTCCTTCTATAACATCCCGTTATTTTCTATCTTGTAAATCCAATCAATTCAATCAAAAGTCAGACTTGTTTCTGTCAACTTTTAGCTTTGTTAAGGGTCTGTTTGAGAGTTCTAAGCCTAGTACACTCAAGGATTGTGTGTTAAGAAATATTAACTTGAGAATATTGAGTTGCATTTGAGCCGGAAACACCTTCACTAAGAGTTCACGGCCGCAAACTAGGGTTCACGGCCGTGAACCCATCATGGCCGTGAACTCCTCATCATAAGTATGATATTCCTTCATTATTCTTCATTTCTCACATTCTCAAGTCAAGAACTCTCAAAACTCTCTCAAGTATCATCAAGAACACTCCTCTTTCTCTTCAAAATCGTAAGTGATTCTTCCATATTCACTTAATATCCTTATTATTCACAAGAAACTCTTTGATTTCATCCATGAATTCAACACTTTTGGTTTAGATCTTCAAATCATCATCCTTTACACCAAGAACACCAAGAACACACACTTGTTCTTTGGGCCGTAAACCCCCTAAAGACCTCCAAAACGTGAGTATCTCTTCAATCATCTTGTTATACATTAGAAACATTTGAATTCAACTAAGAAACAAACACCCAAATGCATAAACTTCAAGAGTTCACGACCGTGAACCCTTCATCCATGGCCATGAACCCTTCATCCATGGCCGTGAACCCTTCATAAGTTCATCATGGTGGCCGTAAACCCTTCATAGGATCAAGTCTTGACCGTAAACCCTTCATGAGAACAAGTCTTGGCCGTAAACACTTCATATGTGTTGTCGTAAACACCTCTATGGCCGTAAACACATATAGTGTGGCTGTGAACACCTTTCTTTCAATCACATATGATTGTAACACTTCAATTCAAGTGGTTCCTAGCACCTAAGGTTGTTTACCTTACATGATTAGTTGTTTTATACACTAATTATATACATATATGTGTCATTATATGCTTAATAGGATCCAATTGTGTTCAAGACATCACTTGGCATTCTTAGCATCCTATATCGATCTTACATTCGAATTACTCACTACAGGTGAGTTCATACCCCCGTATTTTCATAGTTTTTATTGTTTTAAGGGGAGTGGGGGGAATACAAGTCTAACACAAAGATTTTGTGTTACAAATAAATGGTTTTCAATTATCTTATCAAAATGGATTTCAGTTATCATC